TCCAGGTTCCCGCCGTTGTGCTGTGCCAGGGCAGCACTTACACTGCTTCCTGCTGGAGCTGCGCTCTGGGGCAAAGTGGTGGGACCCGCCCCCATGTACCACGCTGGGGCAGCGGGTACCTGAGAGTCCCCCGGTCCTGCCAAGTCACTGCCGCTGCTAAAACTTGTTGCTCCACATGAAATCTCCCTTCTCACTGGTTCCAAGGGCCTCTAGGCTACCTTCTGCCCCAGAATTGGTAAGAATAAATATTCAAGTGGTGGCAGCCGCGACCCACTTATTAGCAGATGCCACAGCCCCAGGGCACGGCGGCTGATGCTGAAAGCATGCAGAGAGAGCTGTGGAGGGGAAGGAAACGTCCTTGCGAGACACATTCAATTCCATTGCTGCTTGAGTACACGGGAGAAGTCCGCCTCACTATCTAGGAGCAGAGGAGGTGGGGGGCAGCAAGACAGCAAATCAATCAAGCAGACGGGCAGGATGTGCGGACGTGGATCATGGAACAGACACCAGCCTTGGGCAACGTCTTGGACAGCATCACCTCAACGCTCTGCAAACGTCAAGCTCCAAGGGCTAAAGGGCCGAGGAGCAGGTGCCAACCTGCCCCCTCCCACCCAAACCTCCAGGCGGGGCTGCCCTGCAGGAGAGCAAGTCTGTTACCCGGGCCAGAGGGTGGGGCTGAGAGCCTGAAGAGCTGGTGCCACCTCTGCCTCAGCTCTGGGCCTCTGGGGAAGGCACAGTCTCCAAGCCTAAGTTTCCTCTCCTGTAAAATGGGATGTTGCCACAGACCTTGCTTCGTGGCTGGGGGGCCCCAATCGGAAATGGCAACATGCGCGGAACTGTGCCCCCTCAATGCAGAACACAGGGCAGGAAGGCCCGGGCAAAGCCTGGCCCGTGTGGCGGCGGAGAGCTCTACTTCCTTCTCCAGCCCCGCGCACAAAGGAGGTTTTCCCTAGAATGGCATTCTGTTAGGAAGAGACCATTTGGTTTCAAAAAGGGGACTGCATGCTGCTTAAATGTTGCAGACAGAGGCAAGTATTGCTGCGTAAGACTGAGCCAAGATGGAGTCAGAGAACAGGGCCTCCTGGCTGGGAGAGAACCAGGCCTCTCGGTGAAGGGCTGCAAGGACTCTTCCAGATTTAACTTCAGCCCGAATCAGACTGACCTACTCTAGGGAGAGAGTCAGGCAGACAGAAATCCCCCTGCAGCCGCAGTACACGTCCCGCCTCTTTAAGGGGGTATTCAGAGGGAGAACCCCCCTCTATCGGCAGAGTGGCAGGTCATCTGCCAGCACCTGCAGGCTGCATCTTTCTCCTGGGTCACCCAAGCCCTAGAGGAAGGTCTCACAGTTCCAAGTTCAAGGCTGGATGGCAAGCCAGGGTGACCATGTCCTGAACCAGGGGTGCCCACGAGGGGCCCCCCACTCAATACCACCAGTCTGCGGCTGAGTCTCCAACCAGGGCGAGCTCTGCTCTGCCATCTGTGCTCCTGGCTCCCCCTGGCCAGCACCTGCTGGGCTGCTGATGACCCACAGCATCTGTCCCCCTGAAAGTGGCAGAGGCTGCTCCTGCGAACGCCAAGCTTTCAGCACTGGGGAGTCCCCCTGTTCCCCCAGGACTTCCCTCTGACACTCTGGAGGGGGCAGCAATGACAGGGCCAGGCCCTGGCAAAGGGTGAGAATGATAGGCTGGGAAGCATTGCAGGTGCGAGGAAGTGAAACGAGTGCTTGGCAGGGCCCCTGACTTGAGGAGAGAGTGATGCGTCCTGCTTCCCGACAGTCAACAGTCCGATTCCTTGATGGAAATGATTAACCTACAAACTTGACACTTTACCACTGGTCCCTGGTTCCTCCTCTCAGTACAGGAAAGAATAAGATGCTGAATTCTGACTATTTTCCACCAAAGCTGGAGAAGCTCTACAGAAAGAATCCCCAGATATTCCCCAGCCTGGAGGCAAGGTTAGTGGTTTGAAAGGGTTGGGGCATCGAACACTTTCACATCTGATCCTTCAAAGAAGGAGGGAAGTGGTGGTGGGGTTCTGAGAGTCCTGGGCCCGCTGAAAGCAGGTCCTGATGTTGATTCTCATGGGCCCTCATGGCAGGGGCTGGGCGGCTTGCTGGGACACCCTGCAGAGTGCACGTGACTCATGGGACCCCCCCCCTCCTCACAGCTCCTTGCTCTGTGGCCACTTCAAGGAAAGAGAGGGAGAAACTGACTCATGTCAGCTGCACTGGCAATCACAGGATGTGGACGGAGGTCGCAGGAGAGGAGGAGGAATTTTCCATTTGTTAAGGTCAAGGGCTCTGGGGAGACAACAGTGCCAGTAGAGAAAGCTGCCTTCTTACAAGTAATCATGACGCTGTGCATAGTCTGGCCTCTGGATACAGTTAATATCCCAAATATTCTCATTCTGTGTGTGCACCTCAGTAACATTCTCAGGAAGACACAGAAGAGATTATTTCCAGAGGACTTTCTGAAAATTAAACTATATAATAAAAGCCTGTATCTTTATTCCCCAGAACATACTGTCCCAGAATAGCAATGAAGTGGTTATTACAAGGCCTCTTAAACATGCAGGCCGTGTAGGTGCCTCGTTTACCTGAGACCAAGAGGGGAGCGCGCCTGGGGCGGGTACAGTGCTCTGGTCTCCTGGCTGCCTTGCCTGATGTTTTGGTGAAGTCTGCGTGGCAGCAACATCAGAAACCGCCAGTGCCAAGAGGTGCTAGAAGGAATGGACAATCTTCTGGACACGAGTGACTGGGGGACAGGGGACAGGATGGCCCTCCTCTCTCATGATTGGAAGAGGCCACCGGATGGGATGAACACATTAGGATCAGCCCTGCAGGTCAGTGTGGCCGAGGAAGACACTGTCACCACCTGCAACAGAGGGCTCGGGACCAAGGAAAGACACCACGTCTGTGTCAACCCTTTCCTCCAGTCACTTTGTCCCCTTCCAGCTCACTGAGGGGAGGCCTGCAGAAAGAATGGATGGCTCCTAGTACTTAGGGTCAGGAGGCGCTGTTCCACAGAAGCCATAGACCCTGGGAGTCACGTGCAAAGTCGTAAAGTCACTTCTGAAACATTGTGAAGGTCCATCTGCCTTGAATTTCTCCAAACCAGGCGGAAGAGTACATCTGAACCAAAAACCTTCCAAACAAACGGGAGCCCCCTTCAGTGACTGGGGTGTGTGTGTGCTGGAGGTGGGGGGTGTGGAAGGCTGTCTGCAACCCAGAGACAGTGGGCATTCTTGCCGTTCACTCTTCCCTTCCCAGTTCCACAGCTTTGGCAAGCCTGGTGGCAATTAGCTTTGTGAGTTATAAGTGTAATATCTGGGAGATGAAGGCAGTAATTAATGCCTGGCTGCTCTCTTGGAGGGTTCCTTCTGTTCGGTCAGAGTTATTGAGATTCAGAGATGGAGGCTTCCATCATGTGAAAGGTTGATAGGAATAAGTGAAGGAACAATTTAATAAGGCAATAATAATGTTTCTAAATAATTCACCAGGCAAATGGCAGCGGCCAACAGTCCCAGTTCTCTGTCTCTGCTTTGCCAGGGGGCAGGGGAATGTGCCAGGCAGATTCTGTGTGGACACTAGTAGCCTCCCCAGGAAAAGGCTACCCGAGGGGCTCTGCTGCTGTTCCACTGCCCTGGATGTGCCCTGTGCTGTGCGGAGCCTCGGGGACCCTTTCTTTCACCTCCTCCATCTGCCCGTTAGAGGTCCAGATGGGTCCTTACGCTTACTACTACCTCTGCTAACTTTAGCAATCTTGCTCTTTCAAATGCCAAGAGGTCAGCAGGCCTCGGCTGGCTGTGAGCACCTAGGCCCTCCCAGCTGCCCTACTAAGTTACTCTGCCCACCCCAAGCTGGGGAAGAGGGGAAGGGTGCCAAGCAACCAACTGGCTACTGATTTCCCAGCCGAGCTGTGGTCGGGGGATCTGAGATACAATTCTACTAAGACAAATTCCTAACCTTAGGTGAATATGCCAGAAGGAACAGACCATGAATGCTGCAGAAAAACAGAGGAAAGCAAATCTCTCCCATGGCCTGGGCCACAGGTCTTCTTTGGTCTGTTGGGTGCGACTGGGAAGGCAAAACAGTCACTCAGTGGTCCGTGGGGTTAACAAACTCAGCTCTAAATAGCGCAGCTGGCAGGGCCTGCAGAAACCTCTGCCAGGATAGGGATAATTAAGTCAAGAGGCCAAGTCCTCTCCCACCTCCGCCGCCCCCTCTAAATCAGCTAAGTGGCCACGTGTCAAACTGTGTGTCACCTGGCACACCTAAATCTGTGTCAGGGCTGCGGAGGACTAAGAGGAAGCAGAGAATATTAATAGATGCTGCAAAAGGGAAAGGGAAACATTTCTGAGTCCTGCCTGCAAAGTAGGCAGAGATAAATAACTGCCGCTGGTTTTGTATCTTATTATCCAATACCTGTCTTCAGCCCCAACTGCCCCCACCCCCGTCATGGCACAAAGCAACCGAGAACGAGGCTGGAGATTCATCATCTTCCCATCTGTGGGGAGGAGGGAAGATGGGCAGAGAGCTGGGCCGATCCTTCCCTGTCTGGGGAGTCCGTTTTTGGTCCCTACCTGGTCAACTGTAGGATGGCTCTTTCCCACCTGAATAGTCAGGAAACCCGGCATCTACTACACGGCCAAGGGTAAGGTAAAACACAGGAGCCCCCAGAAAGTGAGCTCTGAAACTCTTAAAGAGCTGAGCGAGAGTGCCCCACAGACCCTGAGCTAAGTGTGCAAGCTGGCCCTGCAGCGGACAACGACCCAAACACCAATCCAAGCCATGTGTGACTGAAACCTGGTCACCAGGACACACTGGGGCTAGGGTTTTAGTGACATTTTCTGCCCAGGCCCCAGGCCCCAGTAATTAGCTAGAGTGTGGAGATGTGTAGGCCCTGATCTGAGAAAAGGCAGTTCAAATGCTCTGGCCACACAGGCTGGTCCGGCCGACCCTGGGCTGCACGGGGCTGGGGAGCCGAGGTGAGGCCACTCACCAAGTAAATGCGGTAGGCGTCCACGCGGCGCAGGGGCCCCCAGCACTGGTCCGTGTCGTTGTACTTGGTGTTGGCCTCTACACCACAGGAGTCATTGCCGGTGGCACTGCTGATAAACAGAACAGTGGCTCAGTGTGGCCCCTGGTTGGCCGGAAGCAGGCAGAATGTAACATTGCTAATTATGGTCGCCCCTCCATATCCTCCGGGTGTATGTTCTGAGACTCCCAGTGGATACCTGAAATGGCAGATAGGACAGAACCCTACGTACAGGACGTTTTTTCCTAAATGTGCATCCTATGATAAAGTTCCACTTATAAAATCAGGCACAGTATGAGATTAACAACAATAACCAATAACAGAATAGAATAATTATAACATACTGTAATAACAGGGATGTGAATGTGGGCTCTCACCCTCTCTCTCAGAATATGTTACTGGGCTGTACTCACCCTTTCTGTGAGGATGTGAAATGACAAAATGCCTGTGTGATAGGTGACATGAGGTGAATGCCCATGGGGCAGGGCAGGGGACAGCAGCCTGAGGCGTGTGCAGAAAAGGTGCCGGGCCCCACAGCCCTCAGATGCTGAGGGGTTCACTGGCAGTGGTGCTTTTACTGTGCAACACGGCCTGACTGGCCAAGGAAGCCTGCTTTGGCTACAGCTAGTGTGGGGGCTGAGGGGGACACTCACCAGGTCACCTGCATGAGGGAGAAGGGTACAGCGGCAGCATAGATGGCCAGGTCCCCATACAGGTAAATGATGATGCAGAAATAGAACAGGTTGACGCCCACTGAGAGGAACAAAGCCACCGGTCAGGGAGCCGGAGAGAAAAGTCTGCATTCTCTTCTGACAACTAAATCTACCTCTGCCATAGCATTCGGTTCTCCAAGCTGTTTACTTTCTACAGAAAGAGTGAGAAAATGACCCCTGAGTCCTGTTTCTTGTCCTGGCTGGCTACACTGCAGTGGTGCAGGCAGGAGACACATCTGCTCCTGACCTTCACCCGAGGGGGGGCTTCCTGAGGCTTGGAGGGTCACAGAGGCTCTGAATCCAGACAGGTGCAGGGCAAGTGTGAGGCAGGGACTGGCTGGGGAGGAGCCAGAGGCGCCTGCATGCTCAGGACAGGCCGTGGGAGGGAAAAGGAGAGGCGCCCGCATCAGGGCCCTGAACCCCAGTGAGCCCCTTTGCAGCCAAACACGGGGCTCCCAGGGGTGCTACAGAGGAATTGGAAAGCAACGAGGAGAGAAATGGCCCAGCTTCCGAAGCTGAAAGCAAAAGGGTAAAAAAGCCCTTGACTTCCAAAGACCAAGAGCCTCACTCTGAATCTGTTCACCAAGCACTGGGTGACCACGGGTGCTGGCAACAGAGGGAGCGGTGGGAGGGGCTCAGGGCGGGCTCGCGGTCCGTCTTATGAGAAATGTGTGCAAGGGTGGATGTTGGCTTTGGAAGGTGCACGATGTGGATGCTCCTCTGCAGAGGCGATCCTTGGTCCCCTCTCCCTCCAGGAGGGCCTGTACTGGGAGCAGGGACTGCAGGCTCTAACCTGACCCCGCTGGCCCCCCTTCCTGACCCTGGCAGGTCCTTGACCACCTCCACCCCTGTGCAGTGAGAACTCTGCCCATGCTGACTTCTGCATGTGATCCCAGCTATAAAGGCCAGGTATGAGAGCTCAGAGCAAAGCATCTGGGGCCTACGAACTCAGGGTCACGCCCCAGACAACCAGTCTGAAACTCCTACTCACACTGGCTGCTCGATTTTGATGTCACTGGTCTCAAGCTGCTGGCCTCTCTAACAAGAGAATGAAAAATGAAGTGACAGTTCCCTTCTAATCCTGGTGCCTCAGAAGAGCCTCCACGGCTCCCAAGGGAAACACCAGGACATGATCCTCCTGGGCTATTTGAGGTCGGCTCTCCTCCTAGGAGTCTGGGGGGAAGAGGCTAGGAAAATACGGTTCTAGAAAAGAACCCTGGAGGGCCTCAGACGGTGCTGATGTCCAGGCTCAGTGGTCCCTGGGGTCTGGCTGCCAGTCCCACCCCAGGCTCCAAGTACAGCCTGTGGCCCAGCTTATCTTTCTGCTCTGACACCAGAGCTCTGCACGGAGGCACCGTCCCCTCCCCACTCCCATCCTGTGCCCCACCTGCCCACGGACTCCAGGGTCAGGTGTTTATAAACTGTCACTGGCACATTCTGATCAATAAATTTCATTACTAGACACAAAATGGGAGAATCAATTAACCTCCTGGGAAGAGAGCAATGACTAGGCCTGGTATTTCTAACAACAAGAAATGGGTCTGGACCCCGAGGGAGCTTTCTGTGGAGGGTGGCAGCCCTTCAGGATGAGCACGACAATCTGTGACTTAGGAATGGAGCAGAGCAGTGGTGTCCAACTGGGGGTGACTTTGCCTGGCACCGCCTCCCTGGGGACACCTGACAATGTCTGAGGACATTTTTTGGTTGTCATAACTGGGAGGGGCTGTTGGGGGCAAGAGGGCCAAGGCCAGGGATGCTGCTCAACACACTCCAGGGCACAGGACGGCCCCTGGCAAAGAATTCTCTGGGCCAGGCTTAGTAATGTCGGGCTTGGGAACCCCTGGAGCAGATGGGGAGAAGACCTCCCCCAAGCGGGGGGCTGCTCTCATAAGGAGAGGCTCATTCTCTAGTAGATCTGGGTAAACCAGGAGTTTGGTCCATAGCCAGGGATGGAAAGGAGACAAAATAAACCCACGGATTCCTAGATTTCTTAAAGAAATCAGGGTACATTACAAACCATGGAAATTAGAAAGGTTTAAAAGGTGTATGCCCTCCGTCCAACATGCATTTTATTTCAGAAGCTTGCATATGGAAGGAGACTGCATGCAGCTGTCAGGAGGGAATGTTTATGCTCTCTTATCTCAGTCTAATGAGACGGGAGAGAGAGAAATGGAACAGAGGAAAAGCCCACAAGGGGGCTGGACACAATCTGGTTTTTATGAATTCTGGAAACCTTCAGTAGGGAGGGACAGGACCAGACCCTTGGGCAGCCTTTGGCTGATACCAGATCTTCTGGACTGGATGGTCCAATCACTCCACAATGATAAACTGAATGTTTAACGTCCTAGAAAGCAGTCCAGGAGACTCATTGCTACCCTCCTGCCCCCCAGTTCCAGGTTAGTGCACCCACAACCAGCACTGGAAAGAAACTGTGGAGATGCCCCCTGCCAGCAGCTGGCGTGGCGAAGGGGCAGGAAATCTTCAGGATCACTGCAAAGGCAAGGACCTACCGCAATGTGCTGGACTCCTTATGAAGGGGAAGCAGACAGGTTTGGGCATTAAAAAATGAGACTGTTACATAGCTCATCTTCTCAAAGAACAAGATTTGCCCTGAGGTACAGGACGTTGTGGCTGAATACCCAACAGCCCAGCACCTGAGCTGGGCTGGTCTTCCAGGTGGTAGCCAATCCCATTGAGGAGCTGGTCGTCTGACCCTCAGCGTCCCAGACAGCAAGACTGTGTATGGACTCCTGGCACCCTCTGCTGGCCGTGGAAGAAATACACACACACACACACACTCTCTCTCTCTCTCCCCCACTTGCACGCACACATACACACACACACTCACACACTCTCTCTCCCCCCTACTTGCACGCACGCACACACTCACTCACACTCACATACTCTCCCCCCCCCACTTGCACGCACACACACACTCTCTCCCCCACTTGCACGCACACACACACTCTTTCTCCCCCACTTGCACGCGCGCGCGCACACACACACACACACACACACACATTCACACACTCTCTCTCTCTCCCCCTGGCACATGCACAGTGAGTCCTATCACTACCCCTGAGGAGGAAGGACAGTCAGAAGCAAGGGCCTCCAGGGGCTTCCTTCCTTGGAACCCGCTCAGGATTCCCGGCCCCACCTGCAGAGGGGGTGAAGCAGCCCTTCTGTATTCCCAGTGCTAATAAGCAGGGAGGAATCCAGGACAACTCGAAGCAGCTCAGGCCTCTCTGCAAGGTGGCTTCTCCAACACCCTGGGGCAGGCCGACAATCTGCTCCTTGGCACCCCCGATCCCAGCCCTAGTCATCGAGGTGGGACCCCATTCCAAGTGCCCAGGTCTGTTGAGAGGTACCAGCTCTCCTTGTGCCCTTAATCCTGTCTGGAAAAGAGGAACTCGTACCTTTACTGAAGAACATGGAAGCCATCTGTCCCATTTCCACGCGGTCTGTGATTTCAAAAAGGTTCGGAGATCCACGTCTCTCTGTGGAGCCGAAGGGACAAGGATGAGAAAGGGGTTCTTTCACTCAGAAAAGCTCCCGGAAGGGAGTGTTGTGATCATTGAATTGAATTCCCCAGCATTTCAAACCCTTGAGAAAACTTCCTGAAACATTCTATAGAGAGGGATCCCACCAAGTGGCCGAGTGAGAGGGAAAGCTGGGATGCCTAGCCCTGGCGGGGCCGACCAGTGATGGGACCTACAGGCACGCATGCATGTGCTTGTGTATATGTGTGCGCATGCTCATGTATGAGTGCATGTGTGCACGCTTATGTGGGCACATGCGGGACAGGGACAGGAGGAAGGAGAGCCCAGTCAGAGACCTGACATTACTTGAGTTTCCAGTGCGCACAGGACACTGAACCAGGCATTTAACCATTTCAGTCACAGCAGGAGAGGTGGGGCGCTGGGCCGAGGGTAACTTGTCCAAGCTGCAGACGTTAGTAAGTGCTGGGGCTGGCAGGGCTGATGCCAGGGCCCGGATGGGCTCTTGTATTCCAGCAACATGCCTTTTTGGGAGCTAACCAATTGCAGACAGGAGTGCCACAGAGTTCCTGCAGAGATTCCCAGCCCCTCCAAGAGGACAGGAAACCTGTGGGTGGAGGGACGTACAGGCTGCCTGGAATCCCAAGACTTACGCACAGACAGGATGGGCCGTCTCTCTGCCTGCTCGTAGTTGTCCTGGGTAAGAACATCGTTGTCAGAGACGGAGGAGGAGTCATCTTCTTCCTCCTCCTGGGAGGTTAGGAGAGAAAAAAGAACACCGAGGAGCATATTACTACAGAAAATCCCTGGGACAATGCAGAATGCATTTCCTTTGCTATCTGTTTCTAGAAGGTCTTTGACTAGTAAGCTTCTCAGCACTGGCATACTGTCACATCAGATGGTACAGGACACATGCAGACACCTGAGGCTGCAGCACAGTCCCGGGCAGAGGTTCGGAGTGCCTGAGCCAGCTCAAAGTCCAGGGTAGGACATTAAGAGCAGAGGCTGCATCTGTTCTGCACGCTTATGTGGCTGTTAAGCTTCAGCTCTGGACTAGGGTCTTGGGGGTAGGGCTGTGGACATAAGCCCTCTGTGCTTGGAGCAGGGGGGAATTGGCCGCTGAGGGTCACCTCTTTGGTACATGACTGGACGAGGCACTGCCTGGACACAGGGCAACACATGCACACCTGGTGGTTTTCCATCCTCTTCCAGCGGAGCTGAGCGTTGGCTGCTGCCATGGCCTCCATCACAAAGGTAGTCGTCACAAAGCTGCAGGGGAGGGTCACTGTTAATTGCCAAAGGCAGGTAGGAGGTTGGAGGAGGTTAAAGAAATCTGAAGACCTGACAAGAACTACCAGCCCAGAGCCTTCTCTCTTCTGAGAGCTGTTCTCCAGGAAACTTTAAGATGGATCTGACTTGATTAAAAAGGATGCGTGTGCATATGTGAGGCCTCCAGAGCTTGTCTTGATGTCCCCTAAATACATTTAGGATGTATTTCCCATGCATGGGAGAGAGGGGTGTAAAATGAGCTGTAAAATAAGGTAAAGAGAGTGAGCCCGGGGCAGTGCTGCGCCCCAGGAAGGGGCCTGTGGGGCCCAGGTTGGGGACAGACACTCTGATGCTCTAAGTTGGGAAGAGGAGTCTGGCTCACAGGGGGCCCCCTGAAGCTTCTGGGAAGGGCAGGCGAAGCCCCTGCCTCTCCTTGCTGGGACTCGGAGAAGCAGGCAGCTCCCAATTACACAGACTAATGGATAGAACACAGGCCTGGATAACTGAAAAGGACACTTGGCTCCAGAATCTGTTTCCCCCCTTTTTTTATTGGCAGTACTTTTATTTTCCTAATAATCTGGCTAAAATTAAAATAAGCTTCCATTTTTTGGCTCAAATCAAAAGGGAAACGGGGAGGTGGCACCAGATGTTGGCTGAGAAGTCAGACCCGAGTTAAAAATCAACTTTTTTTCCTCTTAAAGAAGCTAGAGAGACCCAGACAGTGGCTGGGATGCATGAATGCTTTTGTTAGCAGAAGGTACAGGTGAGGCCATCGTCCTGCTGAAACCACCTGGGACAGAAAGTCACCTCCCTCTTCCTTGAGGCCAGTGTGGTGCTGGGGCTGGACTCCACCCCAGCCCTTCTGGGCTCTATCGCCTGCCACAGGCTCACTGCTTAGCCCAGCAGCCAGGTGGCAAGTGGGACAGGAGTTAAGTTCATATTCACTTCCTCTTGGGGGTTTGGTGGGAGAGCTCTGAAACTCTCATTCAGCTGCCCCAGCACCTCCTAGGAAGGTTTCTCATTATCTTGCTTAAGTGACCATTTAGATTTTTTCCCTTCTTTCTGGAAGTGAAACTAAAATCAATCTTAATTAAGGCATAAAGAGACTTCTCATGGTTGGACAAAGCCAAGTCATTGCTCACGTTCAAACATAAAAGGGCTGAGCAAGGAGGAGGGCACGGCAGCCCCTGTCTGGGGGCCCTCAATCGTCACTTCCTATTCAGGTGGCTGCCTTTGAAGGTCCTTCAAAGGGGACAGCAGAGTCATAGAGGGCCAAGGACTTCTAGGGCTCTTGGCTGCCAGGGCTGGAAGCATGTAATGAGCCAACATCACCCCACGGGTGGCCATAGAACCCTGCAAGGGAAATGAATGAAGAAATTGAGAAATGTGGTGCTTTCCTACCCACTCCAGCCTCTCCTAGGAAATGTTTTGCTTCACTGACTAAACTCTGCCTCATTCCCCCGGAAGTTCCCACTGCCTGCTCCCTCCAGGCTGCTGAAAGGCTGCCCTCTGGGGCACCCCCACCTTCCTGACCCCCAGCCCTGCTCTTCTTTGCCTGTTTTCCCATAATACTCACCTCCCTCTAACTCACTCTTCTGTTTACTTGTTCACTATCTTCACTACTCATTGTCTGTCTCCTCCCCAAAGAAAGGAGGGTCTGCGGGGAGCGGGGAGGAGATCTGGGATCTTTGTTTTGTTCGCCTAAGAACAGCGCCTGCTGTCGCCTCTCTCCGGGGAGGTAACCCTTGGAGAGGGTTCCCAGGTGTTCCCTTCTATCGGTTTTTGCAGCTTGTAGATTCCTACTTGGTTGAGGGGCTGGAAATGATTAGCCCCAAATCCCTCACTAGGCTGGGGTGCTTGCTACATGACTTTGATCTGCACGTGGAATCCTGTGCCAAGTGCCAGGTAGGCCCTCCTGGCTCTGAAGCGCCAGCTGGTGAAACACCCCCACCCCCACTCCCGGCTCAAGGAGCAGGTGCCCCAAAGGCTTAGGGAGGCCCTGGCCTCCTGTTTGCTTCCAGGCACAAAGGAAGAGGAGACTGACACTTGATTATGGGTGTACCTGTGTGTTTATCCTAACTTTGTAAACTATCTTAGGCAAATTCTAAATTCCAGACTGACTTCCCGTATCACCTTAAATGTTTGTCAAATTCCTTTTCTGTGACTAGGCAGTCTTTTCTCAGAGAACAAAAACTGATGGGGACAAAAATACAACAGGGGAAGTCAGCCAGCCAGGGCAACACTTGAGCCCCATGTGAAACATTCCAAAGCCCGGTTGGGTGTCTTCGTTTCTGACGGATCAGGATCTACAGCTGCTCCATTAGCACGAGCCTCTGGAGACCTTTGCGTCTCCTCCCCTCTCTCCGGGCACCTAGTTTGGACTCATTACCGTGGCATCTTTGCCTGGCCTCCCCCGCCCTGCCCGCATGCTTCCTCACGTTAATGGAGAGAGGTCAGGCCAGCCCCCCAGTGCCAACTCTTACCTCATGAAGCCCAGGAACACCAGCAGGACCAGGCTGACAAGCCACCCAGCGGTGGCAAAGGCCTTGGGCATGGTGAGGGCGCCAGTGCCCACGATGAGGTTAAACATGTACACCAATCCGACCTGGAGCCAGGAGAAAATGACGTTCAAGCCTGGAAATTAATTAGCCTCTCCCTCCAGTGGCTCCCAAGGATGACCCTGGGCCACAGCCAAACCGTGGAGGCCAGACTTTAGACAGGGAGGTGAGAAGGAAGGGAGAATCCTGCCTAGGTTTGCAGGAGGCCTGCTCGGCAAGCGGAGGCTGGGGAAGCAAACATCAACACTGGGAAGGCTGAAGGTCCACGTCCTGTCAGTCTTTTCAAAATATCCCTGATTATCAGTTTTATTCTTGTTTTTGGTGTTATCATCCCTATCACCTCATCATTCCATACTGTTCAAAGCTGCTTAGATGTTACTGCTCTGCTAAACCAGACTGAAGGCCTCCTGAGGATGCCCATCACATCTGGGGTACCACGCACAAGAGGAACCCAGTGCTGACCTCAAAAAATTGCCTACTTTTCCAGGACCCCTGAGCCTGCAGCCCAGTCCTCTCCACCCACACTCCCAGTGTCCTTTGGGATGTCGACATTCACGCAGCTTCTCTTTCCTGACCCTCCTCCCCATACTAGCTTCAGGGACTTTTAAAAATTGGGATATAAATCACATGCCATTTTAAAGTACACAGTGGTTTTTAGTATGGTCACAGGTTGTGCAACCAGCGCCACCATCTGATTCCGTTTCATTCCCCCCAAAGAAACCCTGTCTCCACCAGTGGCCAGCTCCACCCCCCTCCCTGAGTGGAACTGCTGGGTTGTGGACTTAAGTTTTAAACTCATTCTCATTCACAGCAACTTGACTGTAGCTCAGTTAATTATAATCATTCCTTTTTCAGCATCTTGACCATGAAATTCCTTCCTCTGACCTGAAGCCCCTGACTTGATGAACCTGAGCATTCCCATCAAGCCTGCTTTGTCCTCATGATGACTTCTGCCACCCACCCCTGCCCCGCACAGACCACTACCTCCGCTGGGCCTCACCTACATGCTTCAGCATCACTTACACTCCCACAAGCCACACTGTCCCCGAGCCTCCCATACCCTTCCCTGTTCTGACTGACCTTTCTGACCCCCAGCCTTGGTTACCACCCAGCACCGGCTTCCCTGAATCCCTAATGTGAAGCTGCTAAAGGCTCCTGAAAAATTTTTCTTTCTAATTATAATGACTGGTCCCACAACAACCGAGTGGTTCCTTCACGCGTGCTCAGGCAGCATCAGACTTTCTTTGTTCCTCACCAAGACTTCCTAGCATTTCCTGCAGGAACTCCATCAAACCTCGTCGGAGCTCCCAGATGAAGGCCACATCTCCTGTTTGGTGGAGGTGACCCAGGCATCCTACGTCTGCCCACCAAGCCTCACTCCTTCCTGGATAAAAAATCACAAGCATCTGCATCCTCCCCACTCCTCCCTGCCACTGGGGAGCCTGAGGCTTCCTCCTTGCTGGGGCTGAGCCCTGCACCCAGACTTCTGGGCTCAGTCCTTTCTGGAATCTTCCCTACCGGCAATTCCTCTCTGCCTACAAATGTCCTTGGCACCTTTGAAACATCACCCTCACTTTCCCTTCACCACTCATTGAAGAAGCAGCTGGAACCCCCTGCTTTCATTTCCAGGGCCCTGCACTTTGTGATTTCCATCTGCAGAACTCTTTTGAGACTTCATTCTTAAATATCACCAAAGGCTTCCTGTTCACCAAACCCAATGGCTTTCCTAGTCTTCAGTCTTTCTTATACTCTTCACATTAGCTGCCTCTTTCTCTTTACATGTCTTTTCCTGAGCAACTTCACTCAATCTGATGGCCTGAACTCTCATGGCAGACAAAAGAGAACAGTCCCTCTCTTCCCATCAGCCCTTCTGCAGACCTCCAGCCCCCTTGCTGGCTGGTCACCTCCACTAGGACATCCCATCAGTGGCCTCAGCCATATCCCAGGGCTAGTAATTTTATTTCTGAAGAGCCTTTTGTAGCCAC